GTGGTAGGAGTAGAATTGACTAGAATTGCGAGCTTCCAGTGGGAAAAAAATAGTTTTTCAAACAAGGAGAGGTGACTGCCAAATACAAGATGCTTAAATTGATTCTTATTTCGAAATTTTCTCCACTTGAGTGAAAAAATGAAATTCTGCTAGACATGGCTCGACTTTTGTATGCAATAGGAATCATAGAATTGATCTGCTATCTTTGATCTTGTCTAAAATAATCAAAGTTGTGATGTTAAGAGAAACTCACTTCCCTTCGGGATGTTAGTGACAGAGATTTGCATTGATTGAGGAGTGAAGATCAAGTCGGAATGGGAAGTGTTGAAGCTAATGGGATTCTTTAATAAGGTATCATTTTGGAGGAGCCAGGACCACATTAGGGGACACATGGCAAGGGAAGAGATACCATTAAGACATGGCAATGATGAGGTGTAGGATACTTTGGATGCCGAGAAAGAGAGATGCCAGAGCAGGCCCATGCTGAGAGTGACAGGAGGACTCTATAAGAGATCATGCTTAGCGTCGGGGCAAAGCAAGATGAAATCTTCCATCGTTTGGGTGGTGGAGCAGCCGGACCTTTGGGCTCTTGAGTTGCTAGTGACTGTTACCGTTTCTTTTCTTGATTCACCAAGTGTGTTTTTTTATCTTGCTACAATTTAGTGTTTTTGTTTTGAATCTTGGGATATTTTGAATGGGTTATGCTAGTTTTTGTGTTTTGCAATAGTTCTCTTATTAATGCATTTGGTAACTTTTAGTTATTGCATTATTGTTTCCCCCCTTTAATTGATAGAATTGTTGTGATATTGAGATTCCTTGCTAAAGTGACTAAGCCAGGGTTATCTTGACACTTAATCTAACATTTTGAATTGGAACCCTCATTTCTTTGAAAAATGGTATTTTCTCTATACTTAAGTGTTGAATGTACATTGGTATTTGTTATTCTTAGGAAAGTGAAGAATAGTCAGGCTTGAATACGAAATTGGAATATAACCTACATTCTTTGGAAACTTGACATAATCAATGGAGATAACGACGAACCCAGTGGCAAGCTTTTGAGCCTTGCAATGTGTTTGAGAGAAAATCAACACTTACTCAAGTAAGGTTTTTCATTTTCCATTCTTGAATAATTTCATTAAGTTTGTTTTGATTGATACAAGTAGAGCAGTATGTTGATGTATCCCAAAAGAATTCGTTCTCACATGAAATACATGCCCACGTACTTTAGAAAGGATCTTAGGCCATGCGTGATTTTTATTTGAGCCTTATCTATTTCTTTGCAAAAATATCTCTAGTCAGTCGTGATTGAGCGTGAAAATAAAAATTCTTTTTTTTAAAGCCATGTTTCTGACCAAATCAGTGGAAAAATTTATATATTTACCTCGGCTATCTAATTTTCTTGTACACTCTCTTAAAAGCAGATTATATGGAGATAAAAAAGAAAGGTTGTGAGAAAAAGAAAAGGCTGAAAAGAGTAGAAGGAAATGAGCAAAGAAAGAAAGAATTACAAAAGAAACCAATCCAACAAATGAGTTGCGAATTGAAAAAAGTAAAATAAAATAACAAGCGTGAGTTATTCAAAGACAAAATGAAGGATAGAAGAAGAAAATGAGGAAAATCAAATTTTAATTGGACAGCCCTTTTAAACTCATATTATCCATCATTTCATTAACCACTTACCCCTTGACACATTATGACCTAAACAAAAGTCCTAATTGATTTTAGGTCTTGTGCATGTGTATGAAGCCAACTAAAATTTGGGGTATGTCAATAGAATTTTTTTATCTATATTAATATTCTTCCATGAGATTATGTCAAACGTGTTTTTTTTTGGATTCCATTACCCTAATTTTTTTTATTTTTTTTGTGCATGTGAAAATTTTTGTTGATCAATCTTACTTTACTCATGCCTTTTTGAAGGAAAACCACTAAAGTCAGAGGGAATTCTTGTTGAGGGCATTCTAAGAAAGGTTTGTGAAATCAAAGATACTCATGGAAGGCTATAAAGAGGAATGTTTGTTGTATAATGATTCTTATTCCTGGAATGATTATTCTTCACACAGGGAGTTTCAAATGCCTATGTAATAAGTGTTTATTTTTGCATAGAGTGCATACCTATGAATGAGAAGTGTGGGGAAACAATTTGGAATTGAAGGTTGGATGTTTCAATGATCATGACACTAACTCACTCTGATAGGAAATCTTATATATGTATAACTGTTCAACTGAAGTTTGAGAGTAACTTCACTGAAAACGCTCGTGAGATAAAACTCGTCCAATAGGGAGTCCTAGGGATTTAATAGCTTATTGCATATGTTAAATGCAACCGTATGATCTAAGAAAACAACATTGTAAATGTATTTTCATTTTGATGTTTTATATTACTAGGGACTAGCAATATGCAAATTTGGGGGGGGGGTGATTCATAGTAAAAAGTTGCATTTTATTATGCCTTATGAGACTAATTATACTTTAATTGTGTTTAAATGATGATATTCAAGATAAATGAAGAACAAATGCTATACGGACAATAATGTCACATTCCCATGCAACACACGTGTTTTGAAGCAAACCAACAGAACTCAAGGGAGAAACAAGTTGCCTGAAAAAGTTGACTTTGCTTCAACGTTCGAATGTCAAATTACGTTCAAATGCAACACTGAAATCAGACAGGATCTCCCAGGGACTACTAGGGAGGGTTTCACATGACCAATAACTGTTGGTGATGAGGCTGCATTAATGACCAAGATCAAACTCCAAAAGCGTTCGAACACACTTTAGAGAGGAAATGGATAACGTTCGAACGCCAATCCAAGACAAAATTAATGCAGATTGGATTTCCATCCAAATTTTATGGCATAGGTTTGGACTTTAAGAACCAAAGTTTGTCATTTACCTTCTTCCTTTGCCTATAAATACAACCCTTTGGCAATTGCTAAGATATATCTCTTTTAGAAGTGGAAATAACCCTCGAAAAGTAAATAGTCTTCTTCAACTTTTAGCATTAGTTTCATTAGCTTCCATTGTAAAGCTTTCTTCTTCATTTAGTGGATTGAAACTATTTCTCCTTTTTTGGCTCTCTTGTGGCTTTGAAGAATGGGTAGTGTTTCACTCATTCTTTGTTGGAGATAATCACATTATTTTGATAAACTTGAACATGCAATTATAAGTTCCTCCACTTAGAGATTTGAGATTCACACACTTTTCTATCTTTCTCAATTGTGCACTTCATTTATTCTTAATGTTTTATCTTTCCGTTGTATATTAAATGATGAAATGCATCTAGCAAACCTAAAATACTTTGTATAATCATGAATCACCTATTTGAAGGGTGTTGTGGCTGTTATTGAAAGGAAGGATTTGAACTTATCAGGTTTTGGTATCTTTTTCGAACAAATTCAATGATATGTTATGATATGAATGTGATAGATTTCTCTATTTCTTGGATTAGACGCTCTACTAATAATGTTGCCAATAGGTTGGCTCATCATGCTATACAGTGTAATTGCTCAATCTTTTGGAGGGAGGAGTGCCTAGACTTTTTATCCTCCAACCTCCCTGGTATTATATTAGTTATGTGATTCAATAAAATGTTGTCGTTTTAAATTCAGAAAAAGGATTTTTGTTGATGCTGAGTGGGAGAGTGATAGGGACTGAAGGGCAGAACAGAGAGAGAGAAAGGGAGAATATGGAAGAGGCCGTGTTGCTGTTGTGATGGACAGAGGTGGAAAGAAAGCTGACAATTATGAGGGATGGTTTAAGTTTTGGATTTGTCATGGGTATTATTATAGAAGAAGAAATAAATTTATATATAGAATAGATTTTATTTTTTGTTTTCTACTTTGTTAAAAATAAATTCGTCAAATATATTTTTTGTTAACAAAAATTTAAATTTTGGGAAAGCAAAACGTCACCAAACCACAATGGCACAATCTCACCCTCTTTCGTTTTTAAATATAAGGTTAGTTAAATATAGAGTTAATTTCATTTTAGTCGTTAATATTTCAATTGTATTATTTTAATCCTTAAAATATTGAACATATTTCTATGTGATCTTTCGAGCTGATAATATCCATATTGTTAACAATTTTTAATTATAAATTTGTCACGTAATACCTAAATATAGGCAAAACAATCATTTTGATAACTCTTTGCCAAATTTTGGTCAAAGATTTACTCAAATTATACGATTTTGATTATGAACTATCTAAATTTCGGTCAAAAACTACTCATATTATATATTTTTGATTAAAAGTTAACCAAATTATTTTATACTCAAATTTAAATATTACGTGACAAGTTTATAATAAAAAAATCGTTAATAATTTGGATGTTGTATGTTTGAAATACCACATAAAAATATATTCAATTCTTTAAAAAATAAAATAATATAATTAAAATATTATAAATTAAAATAAAATAAATCTCACTTTAGAGACCGTGAGTGTAATTGGACCTTTTTCGTCACGTGAAAAACGTTAGACCTTGGAGAGAGTTTTTCGGTTCACTACGCGAAGTCGGTCCAGCTATTCTTTTGGCGTCCCCTAGCTTTATATACCTCGACTCAAATTTATTTCTATGACTGTCCCACGCTTACCTTGATTATGCGTTTTCTGTTATCCTAGGATTTTCTTCAGACTGGTTAGCATCAAATCTTTTCTTCAATCACTTTCCTGCTAATACTTCTTATTTTTTGGTTGAAGAGGTATTCTTTATTTCTAATCATCGGTATATCCAGTCGTGATGTTAGTTTTTAATTTGTATTTGTCATCAATCAAGAACATATCAAAAATTATTCTTGTCTATTGCTGCCTTCCTTTTGGGATTGTTTTATATATCTACTGTTTAGTTTAAGATGTGCATGCTTTTGGCGATTCTACATTAAAGGACCACCCAATTGGCTTCATCCTAGTAAGGCTTTAATCGACTGGAGGCTATGAATTATAGAAGTGATTCAGGAACTCCAATTGTCTAGAGGGGCTGGTAGTATTTAATGTAGAATGGACTTAGAGACATGGTTTTATAATAATATTAAGAGCAAGAAGAAAGGCTGTGTTGAAGGGATGCGGTGAAATTTGTGTGTTCTTTAGAAGAAAAAAAATTGCTTTGAAGATGATTCCCCCTAACTCTCCCCTCTTTCCACCAATTTAGTTATCCTTGGTGAATGAAAAGACCATGTTTCTCATAAAGATGACTGAGGAGCTTTAGTTAGACACAACTAGTTTGGTTCCTAGTTGAACTTGTGGTTGCATGGATGAGCACGAAGAATGTTAAAAGGCAGGAGAGAACCTCTCCCTCATGAAGTGAATCCCAAAACATATGGAATAAAGGCTATGGATAATTGAGAATAATCGGAACAGATAAGTGATAATTTCCTTCTTTTGTAACAAGTATTCTTGGTTTTGTAGCAGAGCAGTGTCTGTATATTCTCAATTCTCTGCAGCCTTTTTTTTAACCATGTGGTCCTATATATGGTTTGAACCTAAGCATGAAGAAATGCAACAGACAAGTCCATTATAGGAATTGATTAACCAGAGGATCAGCCTCTCTGCGTGCATGGTTAAGATTGTCTACATCTGACTCTCCGCAATGCGCGGTGGAGGGAAACTCTTACCCTGGGCTGCCTTTTGATTAACATGAGGATGAAGTTGCTTAGATGTATATGATTTTGATTAGGATCAATGCTATAGGGACCTAATCAACGACCTAATTCAATGCAGCCATTGGATTATTTGTGAATTCCAATATTAATTGGAGCCCATTTCCAATCTAATGGTTAGATTGAATTAGGTCCCCAAATTACATCTAAATAACATTTCCTTTGATTAGTTATTCATTCTGAATCCTTTCTTGCTATCTGAATATTTTATTTTCAGTAGTCTCAGGAATGTATTCTTGTACCCAATCAAATTTCACTATTGTTGTTGCATACAATCGTATTCAAGACTTCTGTAATTTTTGCCTTGGAGTGTTTTTTTTCCTTCTTACTATTCTTTTTGGTAATAGTAATATTTTCTTTGTAGGAATCATGATTAAACTGTTTAAAGTCAAGGAGAAGCAAAGAGAAGTTTCTGAAAATGCCAATGGGAGGGGCTCCATTAAGAACCAGACTGCTGGGGAATTGCGTCTTCATAAAGGTTTTTCTGTGTATATCTCTTTCAAGTAGTTATGCATGGACAACAAATATAATTTGTTAATTATATGTATACACTGTCGCCTCGCACTCTTGGACGCAAGTCTCTGCGTGTAACTATGTTCGGCGTGTGGTGATAACTATTAGAAGAGCGTCCCACCAGTGTCAGCTAGGTATCAGAGATGGTATTCTGAAGCACATACAACATTAACCCTTGGCGAATGATATAGAATACTTTGTATCAAAGTGACTGCACTTTGTAAAAGGCATGTTCCTATGTGTTGGACATGTTCAAATAGCAGTGCAGTCAGTTGCATGTCAGATACCGACATTTTGCTTATCGCAGTCACTGTTGTCCATTACCGATTTAATAGTTGATTTAGGGTACCCTTTCGATAGAGTTTCCAAATTCTGCTCGGTTCTTCTCAACAAATAAGTGCTTGGGCTTCTAATGTCTTGCCCATTGGAGTGACAGTAGGAGAGGTAATAAAACCCCCAACTTCCCTTACAAGACCAATAAGCAGGAAAGGATGCATTATTTTGTGGAACCATCTTTGCCCTATAAAAGAGTCAGAGAACAATATGTGTAATCATTGATAAATTATTGCTGTATTACAGTGTCATTTTCTCATGCCCTTTCATTTACCGTCTAAATAGTTATTTCAGATTTCTGTTAGTCTGCTTTCCTGTCTTAAGCTCAGAACCAGGGGCTAGAAAGAATGATAGACATGCTTTTTGTCCGTTTTAGAGGAGATATTGCTATGTATCTGGTTATCTTGGACAACTTGCCATCCTGAGATTAGTTAGCCATATTCCCTGCTCTTGTCTAATTGTGGAAACCATAATCCTGCCTTGTTCTATCTGATTTTTCCAATATAGTTGTTGCATATACTCTTTTTAATTTTACAATTTTCTATTTTTATTTTTTCACATTTGAGTTACAGATGCCTTATTGGATGTTTTACCTTTTGTAGACATCAGCGAGCTGAACCTACCCAAATCATGTACCATAGCATTTCGAAATGGCAAGGATGATCTGATGAACTTTGAGGTGTCCATTCGACCTGACGAAGGATCCTACAGGGGAGGCAAGTTTTTATTTTCCTTCCAAGTTTCCCCTATCTATCCACACGAAGCACCAAAGGTCAAGTGCAAGACCAAGGTAGATCTTAAATTCTTGCTTGTTGGAGCCTATGTAGCTTTGTCAATGGTTGTAGTTTCATTTTTTTATGCTGGTTAGTTTGTGGTGAGATGGTCTTTCATCTTTGTTGATATAACACAGGTTTATCATCCTAATATTGACTTGGAAGGGAATGTCTGCCTCAACATATTACGAGAAGATTGGAAACCCGTGCTCAACATAAATACAATTGTTTATGGATTGTACCATCTTTTTATGGTATTATTGCATTCATCAACACTAGTACCTCATGATTTTTTTGTGCATTTTTACAATATGATATCTGCAACTCTTTCCATCACTTGTGCAGGAACCAAATCATGAGGATCCTCTCAATCGTGATGCAGCTGCAGTGTTAAGAGATGACCCGAAGAGATTTCACTACAATGTGAGAAAAGCTATTGCCAGTTGATATGCTGGGCAGACAATTGATGGAAATCGGATTGTTTTTCGTTATAGTAAGCATAGAAGCTGAGATTAGGAGTTATTTGTCATTTTACTTTTTAGGACTTATTTGTCATTTTTGACTATTTTTGGGACTTATTTGTCAATTTAGGGTTTGTATTCCCTCTATATATAGAAGGGTGAGGTGTTTGTTTGAGACACTTTTGATTAATTATTGATTATTGGTATTATTTTCTCATCCCCCTTCTCTTCTTCTCATCCCCATTTCTTCTCCTTATTTACATCACACACTTCCCCTTGTTGTCTATAGCTATTTCGTTGTGGCACTAATGTTGATGAACTCACATCATATCGCTCTGACTGCCTGGTTGTAAATCTTATTATTTATTTGCACATTACAATATAACTGTTTCATTGTGGCACAAGTGTTGATGAACTCGCATCATATTGCTTGACTGCTCTAGTTGTAAATCTTACTTGCGCGTTACAGTGTACTCTTCTAAATGTCTAAACGTAGTCAGGGCATTACTACTGTGAGAGCTGAGTAACCAAGTCACATATTGAAGTAATCTTTTAAACTTTCTAATGTCAGTGGCAATTTTGGCTTTTCATTTTGTTATAGAAAATGGATTTTTTTTTTTTTTTATTTCTAATTTCTTTCCCACCCCTCAACCCAGTTGTGTGTCCTGCAGCCCTTTGGCTGTGCTTTTATATCCGATCAGCTCTGTCCAAATAACATATAGGTGGACATAAATCTGTTACTTTCTGGCATTATCATGGTAAGGAAATGCATGGAAAAAAATTTCAATCTATTGGAAGGAAAGGTGTAGAGCGGCATAAGAGTAGATGTTTGATGCAAGGATATTGTTGATGTATGAAACCGATTAGCCAGAGTAACTCGGTGTCATCCATTCATGGCCTGAAAGAATGAAATATGTCAAAGAATCAGCAGCTGGTGTCCGTTGTAATTCTCCAATGCTCAGGTCAGTATTTCAATTGAGTCTGGTTATATGGAGCTATATGCAAAGCAGAGTTTATATAGCTTCTTGGTGTCTTTTGGAACGTATTAGGGGTGTATTGTTCGGCTGGTGCCTGTGGAATGCATGATTGCACATAAACTGAGGCATGCCTATACAAGTAGTGGGGTATGGGAAAATCAATGCCAATGCATGTCCTAAGGAGGTCCTTTTCCCAATCAATTCACTTATATTCGGTGCCACCTCAATAATATACAGTTGTGATACTTGATTTTGAAGTAACACCAGTTCAAAAAGAGGGGAAAAAAAAAAACTTTTGAAGCAACACTTGGAGTTGCATCACCATCAAAGAATGAGTCACAAAACTAGTTTCAAAGCAATTGAAAAGGCTTCTGATACAAAGTTTTCTATGTCAAGGCAAAAAGAGATCTACCTGAAAGAAAACCCAAAAAACATGCTTGAAAACCTGTCGGTATACAATGTGGCTGACAGCTCTGTGAGTACACTGATATCTGAAGAAAATGAAACCCCAATGTCTAAAATCAAATAATATGCCTACACCGGAAATAATGTGTATCATATCATATCTGCTTCTTTTAAACTGGCTAGTCTGGTGTTCTCGCGATCTCGCTTGAAATACCGATACAAAGGCGTGTAAAACAAGCAACACAACCCAAATGGAACTGCCATCATGGCAAAAAGCCCTCTTGATAATGCTAAGGCCTCTCGTGCAGACCCTGAAACTGGATCAACAGTCTTTGGATCATAGCCATATATTCTCTCCGAAAGAATTCCAACAAGAGGAGCAGCGAAAGAAGAGAAGGATACTTCGAAAGCACGATCAAATGCATAGATCATGGTCCGATGTTTGGCAGGTACAACCTCAGCGAACATGGGACCATTTGCTGCAGTGGCACACCAGCTGATGGTAAGGCCCATTATAAAGATGGTGGCAGCAAATGTTAAATAGCTGCTCACTGACTGTGGGATTACTCTAAGAAGGAACCATGAGAATGGGATGCCCATGAAAGCACTGAACTGTGCACACATGATACGTCCTGAATGAGGGTAGATGAGTGACATTCGATCTGCTACTAATCCACCAATAAAGGATCCCATGGCACATCCAGCGCCAAAAAGACTATTGATAGCAGCCGTACTGTTGTGATCAAAACCTGCAAAATGGACCAATATAAATAATGCATCCTGCAAGAAAATCAACTTTTTCCCTACTCATCTGAGGAATTATATTGCTGAAATTTGATTCTAATGTAGCTGTAGGTAATCATCTTCAATTTAATATATTCTGAGACTACTCATCAAAGAGCATCATATTGGGATCTGTGCGCATGCTTACCCATTAGTTCGAACCAAAATGTGAAGAACACGATGGCCGTCCAAGGCAGTGAACCAACGACACCCTGCAAGACAATGAACTGAAAAGTTCGCACTCTCATGACAGCTTTCATGGCCGTCCAGGACTCCACCCAAACTGATGCCGTACTGCCATTGCCCTTATCTAGCAAATCATTCCTACAACATGAAACACCTCAGTTACCAAGCATTTCAAGAAGCTGAAAGATCTGACCAGGATAAGTTTTTAAAGTCTCATCATTTGTACTGTTGAAAAGAAAATAAAGGTGAATGAATGCAAATGGCAGTTAGGCATTGAAAATTATCAAAACTGCCAGACTTCACAAAAAGTTTACCAAATTTTCCTTACCAAATCAATGTCGATGGTTGGATCAATGAGTCTCATTAACTTTCACTGATGAGATCCACCAATCCAACTGTCCACATTAATTTGGTTTTTTGAAATTCGGTAAAGATTTTGGCAAACAATTTCTAGAAAACTATTGGCAAATCTAAGAAATTCAATCATATCATTCATACTTTTCAGAACTGTCACCGATACCACGATCAATTATGTCTCTTGGGTCAACAACAAACAAATACACAAGGACAGCAATTAAGGAACTCAGTGTTGCCATCATAATGAAGGCACAACGCCATCCAGGTATGCCCCAAAAGTCATAACCAGCCATAACTGTAGCAAGAACTCCACCTCCTATGCCACCCACTGAACCAATAAGATTTAGAAACCCAAATCCAATCCCCCTCATACCAGCTTTATAGCTATCAGCAATGTAAGACTGAAGAGCCGGTATTACAATTGCCAGTCCCAAGCCATTTACTGCTCTCCAGAATGCAACTTGCCCAAAATACTGGCTCACACCTACTGCAGCTGTTGAGAAGGCCCAGCACAGGGTGCCCATTGCAAGAACAGTAGGGCGATCGTAGTTAATAACTAGAACACCAGCCAAGGGTGATGCAACTCCCTGCACGAGGTTCCGTATGAATGTGAGATATCCAAGATCAGATGGCCCAGCACTAAAAGCTTCACTGACTTCTTTGTAAACAGATGGAAGGAGATTTTCATCAGCACGCTCCATAATAGCGGCCATGTTAATGATAATTAGAGAGAGAGAAATCCCAAAGATTCTTTTTGTTCTGCAACAGGAAAGCATGTTACTAGAGTCAGAAAACATAGTTCCTTTACGGAGCAAACTTCTGCTAATGGACTAAAGATACATAAAATTAGTTCTATCACTTGGCTCCAAAGAAAGTCTATTAAGACAAGAAGATGCTGTGAAGGTGTTAACAACACATATTAACACACAAGTGTAGGACAAAATAAGTGTTATTGAAATATTGGCATTTTAAAATTTCATTGTTAAAATACTCCAAATAAATAGTAAGCAAATTATATCAATGACCAACACATCAGCACTCACAAGCAAGGTTGTCAAAACGTGTATCGAAAGGTATATCGTTTTTTAAAAATAGTATATTGCATTCGTATCGTATATCATAAAATACGTGCAATTTTATAAAAGATAATAAAAAATACATATACCTATAACAAAATGTCATAATAACATTTCATTGCACCACAAATTCTCTCATAAAACAATTTAAAGAGACTACAAGAACCAAAACAAAAAAATTAACAATCTAAATATTGAAATTTCTAACATAATTTATCAATATCAAAATTTAGAGAATTCTAATTCTAAGATCTAAAGTAGCCAAAGGAGGATACTTTTATCAATCAAACTATATGCTCCTACAATGGAACGAATAAAAAAGAAGACTTTTATTTCTTAAAAACTGTAGATAGTGAAACGAAATCGTTTTATTACCTAAATCAAATCAAATCAAACTTTATGTCCCCATCATTTGGGGTCAACTATATGAGTCTATCTTCACCATTCATTTATATCATGTGCTATACGCTCATTTAAGTTAAATATTTTCATATCTTTTATTGTTATTTCGTTCAATGTTAATTTAGATCTATCCTACTTCTATTACAATTAAGATAAATTCTATTACTTTTTCAAACCGGTGCCTTTATCGGCCTACATTGAACATGACAAAACTATCTTAATCTATTCTATCTTAATTTATTTTCAATTGGAGCTACCCCTACCATTTCTCTAATACTGTCATTTCGTATTCTATTTTTTCTAATTTTTTCACACATTCACCTTAACATTTTCATTTCTGCTACACTCATTTTGTCATTATGTTGTTTCCTAGTTGCCAACATTCTGTCCCATATAACATTATTATCCTTATAACTGTTCAGTAAAACTTATATTTTAATTTTATTGATATCCTTCTATCACATAATATACCGAAAGTTTTCGACTACTTAAGCCAACCGACATTGATTATATGAGTTACATCATCTTTAATATCTCTGTCATTTTTAATAATCGATCATAGATATATAAATCGTTTACTCGTTAATATTTCTTAATTTTAATCTTAACTTTTTCACTATGTCTACTTCTTCTATTACTAAAGTTGTACTATATCGTTTTATTACATAGTATTTGAAAAAATTACTTCCAATTGAAAAAACGTCGTTTTCTAGTTAAAATTCAAAGAAAATTTTTTTTATCTATTTCGTCCCATATCGGATAACTCGTATGTATTGTCTAGAATATCAGGTATATTGTATCGTGTATTGCATGATACAATACAAATCAATATACTTAAGCAATGTGTATCGTATTCTTCATGTATAACAACAAATATCATATATATTGTATCGTATATCGTATGATACTAACAACTATTCTCACGAGCGAAAGCAATTTATAATCTAAGCTAATCTCATTCACATCTCCTCAAAGAATGTATGCAAA